TCTGTTTGATCTTTACCTGCAGGTTCTGTATCACCTGTTCGAGGAGTTTTCTCACGCAGGAACCGTGTCCGTCGGTGACGCCTTCCTCGGCGTGGTCTCCTTCTTTGTGGTTTCGCTCGGGGGGATCCTGGTGGGCGTGGTCTACGGCGTGTTGGGCGCCTTCACGTCTCGTTTCACCTCTCACTCACGGGTCATCGAGCCTCTGTTCGTCTTCCTCTACAGCTACATGGCCTACCTGTCTGCAGAGGTCTTCCACCTGTCGGGGATCATGTCGTGAGTGCAGCTGACACCTGGGGGGGGGGGTGTCTGATCCCTCTGCAGGTCATCTGGTCTGATATTAAACCTCCTCTCCTCAGCCTGATCGCRTGCGGTGTGGTCATGCGGCCGTACGTGGAGGCCAACATCTCCCACAAGTCCTACACCACCATCAAATACTTCCTGAAGATGTGGAGCAGCGTGAGCGAGACGCTCATCTTCATCTTCCTCGGGGTTTCCACGGTGGAGGGACCTCACAACTGGAACTGGATCTTTGTGGTCTTCACCCTGGTCTTCTGCCTCGTGTCCAGAGTTCTGGGTGAGTTTCAGGCTCCTCCTGCTGATTCAGCTCTTTATGAAACCAACGTACGGAATAAATCTTGTGCCAGCAGGAACTGAATCTGAAAGTACATAATTGGTAACTGAATGCGTTGGTTTGAAAATGAATTTTACTAAATTAAAACTGAATTTAATCGTTTGAAACTGAATTAATTTGCTTTGAAACTGTATTTTTGTTCATTAATTTGACTACTTTCACTTTCAGTTTCAGATTACTTGATCAGATGCTGCTGCTGACTGATCCATGATGTAAATGTAACATTTTCTACATATAGGTCAAATTAATCACTGCAATAAAATAACTTTGTGTGTTTTTGTCACTTTTACAGTGGATTGCATCAACTCTGTTACATCCAGAAGGGAAACTTCACCAAAGTGAAACATAAATCTGTGGATCTGTGTTTGATTACTCTGCCTGGCTTTCTCAAGGACCAGGATGTAACACAAACATCTGAATTATGGAACTGAAAGTGAAAGTAGTCAAACTGAATTTATAATAAACCAAAATACAGTTTTACAGCAAATTAATTCAGATACAAAACTTTAAATTCAGTTTCTATTTAGTGAAATTTATTTTCAAACCAATGCGTTCAGATTCACTTCCTGTTGGCTCAACATTTATCCCGTACCAACAGTTGTGTGTTGTGTGTCCTCCAGGTGTTGTCGGTCTCACCTTCATCATTAATAAGTTCCGCATCGTGAAGCTGACCAAGAAGGACCAGTTCATCGTGGCGTACGGCGGCCTGCGCGGCGCCATCGCCTTCTCCCTGGGCTTCCTGCTGCCCGACAACGAGACGAAGCACATGTTCCTCACCGCCATCATCACCGTCATCTTCTTCACCGTCTTCGTTCAGGTGGGCCTCGGTGGTCCGGGGGGGGGCAGGCGGGGGTGTGTGCTTTTTGTTTGTGTTGACTTGTGTTGTGTTCAGGGAATGACCATCAGACCTCTGGTGGAGCTGCTGGCTGTGAAGAGGAAGAAGGAAACCAAACGGTCCATTAACGAGGAGATCCACACTCAGGTGAGGCCTGCACTCGTTTCTGTCAGAATGATCTTAGTTTTAAACGTGTCGTTTAATAAATGTCTTTGTTAGTTCCTGGATCATCTCCTGACGGGAATCGAGGACATCTGTGGACATTATGGACATCACCACTGGAAGGATAAGTACGGTCTCGTTAGCTGTAACAACATGTTTTATGCTGCAGTTGGTTTAACCAGACGTTTCCTGCAGGCTGAACCGCTTCAATAAGACGTACGTGAAGAAGTGGCTGATCGCAGGCGAGCGCTCCAACGAGCCGCAGCTCATCTCCTTCTACAACAAGCTGGAGAGGAAGCAGGCCATGATGCTGGTGGAGAGCGGGAGCGCCGCACGCCTGCCGTCCCTCGTTTCCACCGCCTCCCTGCAGTCAGTCCAGCATTTATTCTTCTGTTAGTCAGCGCCGAAATATTCAGCTTTATTCAGAAACGCTACTTTACTTTAAAAAAATAAGTGTTTTGAGGCATAAAAAAATGTTTTTTTTTCTGCTTCAGGACAGTTTAAAATAATAAATATCTTATTTTTAATGTCTTTAACCAGAAATATTCAGCTTTATTCATAAACTCTACTTTAGTTTAAAAAAATAAGTGTTTTGAGACATTAAAAAAATTTCTGCTTCAGGACAGTTTAAAATAGTAAATATCATCTTAATGTCTTTAACCAGAAATATTCAGCTTTATTCATAAACTCTACTTTAGTTTAAAAAAATAAGTGTTTTGAGACATTAAAAAAATTTCTGCTTCAGGACAGTTT